ACTTTTGAATTTTTTAAACCACTCGAAACACTGAGATTTACCAAGAGCATATTCACCGTAAGCTTCGACAAGCATTCGATGTGATTCTGCAGCAGTTTTCTTTAAATGATAACAGAAAATCAATGCTGTCCGCAAATCATAGTTAGTAGGCTCGAAACGTGACATGTTTAAGGTTATACAAAAATATACTAGAGAATGAAAGTTGGGGTTATGTTTGTTGACAATATTCGTCAGCTGTTAGGAGAATATAATAGCGCGGCAGTAGCGGTCTTACGGTCACTAAACTGAACGCTGGCACCATTTATAGGGGAATTCCGGTTTCATACTTCTACACCTGGTAAACTTTAGAGATATTAAATAAAATATATTGGCGAATCAACGCGCGTATTTGCGTATGTTATAATATACTGTGAACACTATAAGTACACATTATATAAGCATAAACTGTAAGAACATCGTTGTTCTTCACAATCAATTATATTATTAGGACAAATGATGATGTATTTCTGTTACATTTCTGCCAAAACACTTTATGGGCACCACGTTGCAGAGAAAATTAAGCTTAATGAGAACATATTTGCTTGAAATTTGCTGCATAACCATGATTCAATCTGCCGGCATACTGCCAGCATGCTATTACATGTTACTCCTGTGTTATATTACATGTTACTCCTTTGCATTATATTACATGTTACTCCTGCGTTATATCATAGTTATGTTCTGTGTTTGCTGGGTTCTGTGCTGTGAAAAATGGGAACTTTGAAAATTTGCTTACCATTGCTGAGATTCGAATTTCTTATTTTTTCAATAATTTAATAATTTTAAATAATTACATTTATTTTTTTCATATATAATATTTGTAAATAGATATATTTACAAAATATTACTACAAATATTTATTTTTCGTTTACTATAAATATTGTGTAAAGTATTTAGTCTGTATTTTAATATTTTCAATAAAGATTTTGATACTTTTTTGTTCATGTATATAAAATATTTATATTATATTTATATAATATTTTTAAGAAATAATTTGAAATAAATATTTATCATAAATATTGTGTGCTGTCTGAGAAACGTACTACTATCTGCACACCAAAGAACCGTATTCGTATTTAAGGTTCCTGCATTCGAAACTCAGGCTTCAATTTTTTGGCAGCCGCTTGGATTGGGATGCTAAGGGTGCGTTCCGTTTCCACGTATAATGCGCATGAAGCGCAGCGTTAGAGTGACAGAGATACGAAAGTAAGATAAAATGAGAGGGGGAGCACTCGGGTGAGGTTCTCGAACCTAGGTTAGGTTAGTTCTCGAACGCATGAACTGCCTCAGCTCCGAGGTAGTGCAGTCCATGCGATCTCGTGCGTTCGAGAACTAACCTAACCTAGATTCGACAACCTCACCCGAGTGCTCTCCCTTTCTTTTTATCTTACTCTCGTATCTCTGTCACTCTAACGCTGCGTTTCATGCGCATCATGCGTAGAAACGGGACGCACCCTAAAAGTTGCAGGCAGTTGCACGATTCCGCTTGCAACTTAAATTAAAGAACGGTCAAGATTTTCGCAGTCTGCAGCTTGATGTGCGCAACTGGATATACAGAACGATTAAATTATACATCGGATGCATCGGGTTGTATCTGTTGCGAATAAAAGAACGCACCCATTGAGTTAAACCAGCGGCACGATGCTTGTTTTCGTGTTGGATTGCTTGCTGAATGGAAATACTCTATTCTGATTGGTCCGTCTTTAGAAATGCACCAATCAGAACAGAGTATTTCCATCCAGCATGCAATCCAGCATGAAAACAAGCATCGTGTGCCGCTTTAGAGTTATCATAAACTACAAAAGTACTAGATGGTCGTGCCTATCATAATTTTAGTGGAACTAATTCATACAGCGTGTTCGACTGAGGTGGGATCCACTTGACCACGATACGATTGGACACAGATTGTAATGATTGGTTCAACCTAGTAATTCACTAGATAATTTTTTTCATCGTTTGGTTGTGTCCAATCGTACCGTGGTCAATCGGGACGTTCCCTGGGTTAATCGCTCCGAGAGCGATTAATGACATCATAAGTCTCTACTAGCCAATCATAAAGTTTATAAGTATTCGACCAATAAACGTAGGCTAAAAAACCCAGAGTGGGTTAACCCAAAGCCAGTCGAACATGCTATGAATTTCTGAACGATTTGGCTCCGCCCATCTAGTATGTTACACCACATTTTAGAACGATGTTGAATTTACTCCGCTACTGGGAGTAGAGTTTTGGAACGCAGCCCTTGCGTCATTTTCCGCGTATATTTTAAATTTGTGAACTGTCGCGTCCTAACTTTAAAGTCGCCTCAACTTCATGTGTGCTTCCTATTAATTACCAGTGAATTTGACGTCAGAAGAAATTTTCCATGTGATTGTCCGTGTGTAATTCTAATTTCCTGGTAAGTATCTTTTCTTTTTGTTAACATTTGTTGTATTGTATACAGCCAGCGAACATAACCTATTAATACATATAGTTTAGATATTGCCGGTTTAACTGTCGTAAAAAAAAGCCGTGTTCGCGCGCGCACTTAACCTTTAATTTTTTAAAATATTATTTGATCGTGGGGAGAAGAGAAAAAAAGTTACTTTTCAGGAATACAAATAAAAGTAGTATGTGCCACATAGCCACAAAAATCCTTGAGGCTGAGGACACGATGACAAGTTACCGAATAGAAAAAAAACAGCTTAAATATTATTTGTTTGAAATCGGCAGATTTGTATAATAAGAACAAAAGAGAATTAACATGTTTGGGAAAACGGGAATAATGATTTATATAATTATTTTATCATACACGGGATTTTCTGAATCTATCAAGGAGATCCGCAAATATTGCAACAAGTCACTAAATTAAAAAAAAAAAAAAACCGAAAAATAAGAGATGTTTTTTATTGCTAGTGTATATTTATGAAATTTAAAAAGAAAAATATATTTGATATTTGTGCGAAAAACAAGATGTAGAGAAAAAATATAAGTTAATGCAGCTAGTTTAGTAATAGAAAACAAACCTCTAATCTCTAATCATATCTAATTCAATGAGAAAATTAAAAAAAGACAAGTAGATACTAAATGCTAATATTGATTAACATCAGCATTTGGTTTTTACTTGCCAGTTTTGTTTCTTCTAATTTCTTGCTACAAAGATATTTCTTAAAGATGAGTTCACAATTTTTTAAGAAATTTTCTTTTATTGAGAAGCATTTCACAGGAACGATGCAGGATTAATACATCAGGAATTCATACATAACACTTTGGAAGAGATTTAGAATTGTACGTTTTTATTAACTCGTAAACTCTTGCAATCATAACAGATTTCAGTATAACGATCGCTAGAGTAGTGCTGAAAAACTAAGTGTATCCATTTATCTTTATATTCACTTTTATCTTATCATTTATGATGTTCAAACATGGAAAACATTAATTAATTATTAATTAAAAGTTATAGTATCTGCTAATGAGTAGATTAAACTGCAAAAGACAGTCAAATTATCAAAAGCACATACAATATTAGAGAAACAATTGTTAGAATCTTAGAAGTCAACAACATGGGCTATTTTTCAAAGCCAACAGTGTGCTTTCGACGAAAAACGTACAATATACATAAGTGTCAATACACATGCACATATTACAGGTACATTTTGCAAGCATGCCAATTAGAGGACTTTACTATAATATATGTGTGTATATATATATATATATGTGTGTATATATACATATATATAAATCAACATAGCCCACCCTCATATTCATCTTCTTCCTCATCCCTTTTTTGCACTGGTGGCGCAGAAATTCCAGGCTCTGCCTTCTTTTCCGTCGATTGATTAGTTGTATGATTGACTTCCGCCTCAACTATAGATTGTTCTTTTGACGTATTAGGTGAAACATATGATTCTGCAGCGTTCGGCCTTACTCCAGCAGGCGCGACAGAATATTGTTGTTGAGGCAGCGACAAGCCTCGCGCCAACTTGGCATATTCCACATCCATGTGTTTTATGAAAGGATTATTTAATGCCGCCCTAGCCGAATCTGCGTCCTCGTTATCATATGCCTGTAGTAATGTCTCCAATGTTTGCACCTGAATTTAATAGATGAGGCATATATTAATGAAAGTGCCTCGTAAAAATGGAGTTTTTAGTTGGAAATCGAAAATAATAATCGCGCAAATTGTGACGTACCAGTACCCTCGAATTAATCTCTCCTGATTCTTTGCTGCAGAATTTTTTATTGATAACGTCAGGAGCAAAAAAAATATATGTCCAAAATTGTTATAAAATATATTGAAATAAAATTATATATTCACAAAATGACTTTTGCAATCGATCAAATAGATCTGTAAACTAGTGCCAACACTTTCTTTTCTCTTAACAACCAATAAATAACCATAAAATTAAGGCAATATAATCATGAGAAATGATAGATTAAAAACTGATTACATGTCATGTAAATTTTATGACTTTTGATTGTTAGAGCAAAAGGAAAATGTTTAAACTATTTTAAAATTACAATTAAAAACTGTTTTATTATGCTCTAAAATAAATATTATCAGGATAATAAACAATGTAAATATAAAAAGTAATACAAATAGCTGACGTTAAAAGAAAAAGAAAATAAAAGAATATATAGATTAAATACTCCAAGAAATCAATATAAAGTAACACGTGATAGAGAATAAGGTAATAAGAGAGAAAATATATAAAAACGTGAAATATATAATAAATAAGTAATATTTTACAGATCTGCCCGACCAATTGCAAATGTTATTTTATGGATATAATTTTTTGTTTTAATGTACTTTGCAAGAATTTTGAAGGTGTATAAAAAAAAAAATAGAATCCTATTTTTTTCAGATCTTACATGGAATGTAAGAACAATCTGCATGGTTTTTGAGACTCTTCTGATAGTTTAAAGAAAAAGTTGTAAGGTGAATTGATTCATTTGTTTCATGCAAACTACTATTTGCAATAAAAAAATTTGAAAAAGTTTTTCATAAAAAAATCAATGTTACCTTGAATTTTAAATAATAGTAGTATTCAATTTTTTTCATAATATTGTAGACGATTTTAAGACGTATTCCACTCACTATCAGAAAAATATCACTTTTAATGATATTAATATCAAATTTGCAGCATTATTTTAAATAGCAGTACTTATAAGTTTTGGTTAGAAATGTACAAACACTGAAAGTTGTTTGAGTTTATAAGTATTGCTATTTAAAATTATGCTGCAAATTTGCTATTACATTTTAATAAAAGTGACATTTCTAATAATACATTGAATTTGTCTTAAGGCTCCTGGTCAGTTACCCGAGAACTTTGCGTTAACGGTGGTAATATGATTGAAAATAGTAAAAGATGAATTATTTAGGCAAGGAAATAGGTCTGCTCGTATCCGAAAAATTTCTGCATTACAGTGCTAACTGTTGCAAAAGTGAAAGAAAGTATACTTGTTTCTCTCTCTAACTTATTGTACTAGTGCAAAAGTTCATCGAAAACGAACAAACTTGACGATGTAAACAGACGATCAATTTTTTCCTACAAACCACAGTATCATTATTAAGTGTAGTGCGTGCGTGCGTGTATATGTGTATGTCATATAATGGTAGAAGTGTTGCAGACATTGTGTTTATTATGATATTTAATACTTATGATATTTAATATATAATACTATTATGATATTTAATATAAATAATTAATCGGTCATATTCGGCACGAAATCACACGGCTGATTTTCTACCAAAACAAAATGATTTGTCATTTACTTTGTGGTTATGTAATATTTCAGCAAAAGAGAATCCAAAACATTTTGCAAGTATTATTTTCATGATATATCTTTTTATTTATCCGTAGTTCGCATATATTTTGGGCATGACTTTCCTCACTTCTAATATCATTATTCCAATATAGTTACAGTTATTGATTAAGAGCCCTAAAGTTCCTTATAATATTATGAAAAAAATTACATTAAAAAAATTCAAAGTGACATTAATCTTTTTATGAAAAAGTTTTCATTTTTTTTTATTGTAAGTACTAGTTTACATGAAATAAATAAATGTTTACCTTACAACTTTATTTTGAAATTATTGGGTCTAAAAAAAAGTTGATCGTTATACACTAAACATCCTGTATGTGATCTCTACATAGAATTCTCCTAAAACCAAAATGACAATATTCTCAATCATAATGTTCTTAAAATTACTGGAATTTAATCTTTTATCTACATTACAAGTCTTGTTTGTAATAGAAATTTCTTCTAGAAGGCATTCTGCTTCAAGACATATACATATATGCCTAAAAAAGAGGAAAGAGGAAAAGATAAAAAAAAAATTAGAATAATATTTTGCAGGTTTCCATTTAATAATTCATTTCATTAGAAGAGGAATATTTTTTCTGTAAAATAGAAGAATACTTTTTCAGTAAGAGTTTCATTTAAAATATAGCATTACAAGAAATAACATCTTACAATTAGAATTATTTTTTAGGTTTTAAAATATTGTCCTTTTAGTTTTAGAAGAATCTTGAGACCAATATACAGAGTGTCTAATCATTCATAACACACTTGTGCGCAGGTAAATTTCATTAAACTGAACACAAAATTTCTCTATTATTTCGCCAACAGCCATGTAAAATAATAGAAAACTTTTTTGTTTAGTTTAATGTACAAGCACACAACAGCAGACGTTGTTATCACATAGTTCATCTACCGTATCTTACGTTATCATTCACAAGTTTTCTTTAATTAATAATACAAAATTTTAGGTGGTTGTTTGTCGAATGGTAGAGGAATTTTGTGTTCAGTTTAATAAGTTCTATTTACACACAACAGGTATATCATGAATTATCAGACACCGTATGTGTATAAGAGAATTCGACTAAAAATAGGATTATATTTGTTTGGGTGTATTTTTTCATTCTTAACGTCATTAATTTAGAGTTCTGCGGCGAGGAATCAGGAAACTTAGCGAGATTTTCCCGTACCTCAGGAGCTTCGCAATAGTTGCCCCATTCCTTAAATGCCTTTTCTGCCGCCACTTGATCATCCCGCGCCAATTGTACCAGCACCAACGCCACGGTTAGTCTGCCTATAGATTGCCAGTGTTTGATTTGCTGGTGCATCCCGATTTCTCGACGTATAGCGTCCGCAGCTTCGTCATATCTCTGTAACTTCACCAGCAATCTCGCAGCCTTGCTCATATACTCAGCTGCATGACGTGGACTGTCCTCACCCTTGAAAGAAAAACAGCCTTGATTACATTTGAGAAATCTTTTATATCAAGCAGCAATGCCAAGTACATAAAAAAAGTGACAAAATGTGATGTTCACGACGCAAATGTCACGGTATTACCTATAGCTTATCCGGAATTTTCACGTCAATGATATTTTCAATTAAAATTTCTCAGAAACCAAAGACATACAAAAAAAATAACGGCATTTTTCTTATATAATATTGATGTTAGTTTTTAATTGAGATTAGTCCCATTAAGATTGGTGCAGTTAATCGTTAGATCCTGTAATCTCATCCACGAAAACTGTCAGAAAAAGTTGATTTTTCAGATTTTAATCTCCAGTTCACATGTATACACGCACATACGCAAAACGAGTTTATAATTCAAGCTGCATTTGTAATGTTTATATAGTACATATTTAAATATATATGATGTAGGTAAACGGAAGTACATGCACATTTTCCGATATATCATTCAGCCGGTTCACACTGTTATTTGATGCACATGTTTGAACATGTGTAATGTAGCGTGTGTGCATAATAAGCATACTGTAATAGTAAAAATAAACGCTGTAATATTTGAAGAAAGGTTGTAATAACCATGTGCAATCGATATGGTATAAACTTTGCAGAAAAAAATTATTTTTTCAGCAAATTTTCAAATATGATAACCTTTGTTTAAAGTAGTATCTCACCATGACAATGTCAGCTGCGCGTTTAAATAGTTCCAGAGCTTGCTCGGGTTGAGAAGCTTCCAGCATTTTTGCTGCCTTATCAAGAGTAGTTACACCTGATTCAGGAGAACCATGTTGTTGAAATAGGCTACAGGCACTGTGAGCCAATTTTGACACACTCGAGAGATCCCCCATTTCCTTGCTAATAAGCAGAGCTTGCTCGATGCTCCTAAAAATATTGCGTTATTATAATGTCAAAAAAGTATATGATGAAATCAAAGTTCTACATATATATGTACGATACATACTTTGCAGCATGGAACCATCTATATTGCAGTAGTAAATTTTTTTAAGGAAAATTGATAGAAGTGATAAACTTGTTTGAGAATTTAGGATTTCTAATACAGGAACTCGCAATAAAAATATAATAAAAAGAGTGTCTAAAATAATATGATAAGAATATCAATAATATAATTATAATTTAGTAATATTTATATGTAGAAAGAAAGGATTTGCCACAAAAACTAAAATATAACTGTGACAGCTGTGTTATTGAAATAGAAATAGTTGATATTGTTGCTAACGAAGCTAAATTTATTAGTTAATTAAACTTCGGCGCTACACAGCAAAAAATATTCATCGTTAGATATATACAATAGTAACAAACTTGTATTCCTATTTTTAAATAGAAAGTTTATTATTTTTTTAACTGATATGTCCCTTAAAGTGTTGTAGTATATGATTATTTTGCTCAATATTAACATTTAATGATTCAATATTATATCGTACGTGAAAAATTCGACTTTATCCATGCGGGATTTGAATCCGGGACTTAAGATTATGAGTCGTCTGCGTAATGCCCCAGTAGAAATAAACTACGATAAATTCTAATGTTTAACATGGGCATGATTATGAATTCTATAATAAGGTGTTATGTGGCTTTTATAAGGCCCAAATCAGGCAATTATTGTATAATGTTGTAATAATATTGATTTGAGTTTTATATATCCGGTATATATTTTTATCGCTATCTGTAAAAGCCCAGATCTGATCCAAATATGGAGCATAATTATCCCAGCAGATTATCATCTTATATCTGATCCAGCACGGATGGATACCGAATCGAATTTTTTTTTAATATAAGCAATTTTTTTTAAATATAAGCAATTTGCAACAATGCATTTCACTCCTGATTACTCCTAAATTATGAAGTATGAAAACTAGATTAAGCCGTAAGACGATAATCTGCTTAGGACACTATACCACTTCTTCAATTGATAGACCTTTTTTATATTGTCTACATTTATATAATTGTAAATTATATAAATACAATTACAATGTATCGTAATGTACAATTATATAAATTTCCGACAATATAATTTGATATCATATAAAAATTTGATAAAAAAATAAACAATTTATTTAGAACTTATATTTTCTCCACACAGTTTTCTTATTAATTTAATTAAATCTGTAAGATCTCTGTTAATTGTATTTTCATTTAGGTTAATAATAAAACATATTGTTCTTCTTTCATGAGATGTTTGATAATTATAGACATAATGCTCATGCAAGAGAAATATTAGCAGAAATATTTACATATTTCAGTAAGTTTAATTCTTTACAGTATTAAATGCTTGAGATTCACGCATATAAAATGTTTAGAAATAGCTGCCACTTTCTTAGCTAATCAAACAGATGTGCACTTTTAATTTCAGTTAATACATTTGTATTTCACAGTGAATGTATTTTGCCCATGATAGCCAACTTTTAGTAACATGACAATAAAACAATTAGCCTTCTAGCTAAATCCAAATCACTGAGATTTAGCTGATATTACTAAATCATTTCTTTGTGTGTAGTTAATATCAGTTAAAAATTAAGATAAAAAGTTAATAACTGTTAACTTCACTTAATTAATTTCAAATAAGTTAATTTTTAATTCAAACTAATTATTATAAAATATATTAACTTTAACTTATTAATTTTTTGTTTTTTATGTATTAACTTTTCTATATATGTTAATTGCATAATTGTATATGTATAATTCATCATTAAAGAGAGGTATATTAACATCATTGTTATATTAACATCATTGTTATATTAACATCATTGAAGAGAGGCTGTTTACAATATAGAACAAGAAAATTTTTAAATAATACCAGCAAAGTTTTTTTTTCTGTCTTAATATCAGAGTTCTTTCCTTGTATGGAATTCTGAACACAAAGCAGTCAATATTTGTGTATAAAAGATTATTTTTTCATTATTTCACACAAATTATGTGAGAAAATATATATATTAGTTTACATAACTAACTTTCAACTTTAATAGGTTAATTTAATTGTAACTTAACTTTTAGTGTTTGTTTATTGTTGTTTAATGTAAAAAAATTGACTTACATTTATGTGAAAAAATTAACTTACTTAAGCTTGACTGTAATAAAATAATATTACATATAAATGCATGTATATGACAAAAATGATATTTTCAAGTAAAAAAAAATTAAACTTATTTAGAAATGTAAATTTATATTATATTTAGAATTTGGGAATGTATATTTAAAATTTTAAACATTTATTCCATTACAAATCAAAGGATACGATCTGGTCTGTTTGTAACAATCACCTGCTTTTACCCAACATTCTTTGCACTCTTTATATGACTTGGCTACTCGGAAACATGTAGCTAACACAGAAAAATCCATTAGTATGATCAACGTCAAGTTCGCACAAATAGTTTACACAAAAAGATTTGATTTAATTTTTTTTGTTAACTTATCACGATTCGCTATTCTTTTTAATGTATCTTATACTTTTCACTTACCCGCATTTGAATATTCATCAGCTGCTACTTCGAAATCAGGTCGCCACTTGAGTAAAGTTGTCTTCAGGCTGCGAAATATTCATTTGACACATAATACGGAACATTGTACAATTTAAACGTCAAAGTGTCGAAAGATAATCGAAAGTCTCATAGTTAAAAAAAATGTATTCCGGAAACATTGAGTTGCCATGAAGCGAGATGAAAACATCTGTGTGAAAAAGAGAGGAAATAATGAATCATAAATATGCTTACGCTTTCTCAGCTTGCCGTATGTGCTCGGTCGCCTCCTCAATCTTTGACATTTTCCTCCGAATGATGCCTTCGTTTTCACTAAACTAACAACGATGACAGAATCGTGTCAATTCTAGGGCAAACTATTCACTTTCGTCGCATAAGTACAGTCCAAGATCTTTATGATCTTTATCGTCCATATAGACAGTGTTTTCGAGATTGTAAAGTGTATAAAGGAAACGATCGGCGACAATTACGCAATCTGCTTTCCGCTCGGCGTATTAGATTCATGATTGAGGGTGCGTTCTTAAACCAAAGTAGCCTGAAAACAACTGGGTATCTGTATGGACTTCTTCGGAATCAATTCCGATCGGAATAATTTCCCCTAGAAAAGACGATAGAAATCTAGGAAATAACTGTTTCCGATCGGAATTGATTCCAAAGAAGTAGAGAATCTCTAGTAAGGATGAGAAAGCGTTAGGGATACATCAACTTTCTCACTCTGTTAAACTGCCAACTTCCGGCTTCACTCGCTGCTACAGCAGAAGTATAGGAATGCTTGGTCTATATACGTATATACGTCATTGACGTCTTCGTAGAGGACCTCTAGTACGTAGTATGTTCGACTGGGTTAATCCACTCTGGGTTACCCAACCTACATTTATTGGTCGAACAAGTACTTATAAGCTTTATGATTGGCTAGTAGAGACTTATGACGTCATTAATCGCTTTCGGAGTGATTAACCCAGGGCCAGTCGAACGCTAACAGAGAATCACCAACTTGGTCACGTAACCAGCTGATTGGCTGGTATAAATATATACGGATTTAGACATTGCGACGCCAATACAGAATAAATGTTTATATATATATATATATATATATATATATATATATATATATATATATATA